AAGTTTAACTCAATCCACCTGATGCATTGATCAAAGTTATTCCTTTGGAGACTTTCAAGCTACAGTATGTTACTATTCGCCATGCGCAACATGGGGAACAGATGTAGAATTTGCTAGCATAGTAACTTTAGTTACATCTTTATGTTATTATTCTATCTTATTATGGCTACGTTTTAGTTCTTATTAGCTTTCGTGTAAAGATGTACCTTGTGTTAGTTTTCTATCTAGAACTTCCCGCTGAGTAATAATATACGTTACAAAGATTATTGTTTCCTAAACATGAGTTAAGGGGAAGATTATTGAGATTAATTCCGGTTAATGAGTTCAACCGGTTCTAGCTATTTATAGCTAGGTTTGTCGTTGGTGATGGGTATATATGTACCCCCAAGTCTTCTAGTCTGTACGAGTGATATTCAGTTATAAGTAAACTCTCTCGCGTGTTTTAGCCGTGGACGTAGCCCTTGAGGATGAATCACATTATACGATGTCTTTCTCGTGTTTGTGCTTGGCTTGAATGTTTCACTAAAATTCTTGGTTTCACGTTTATGATTATTTTCAATCAAAACACTTAATGATCATGAAAATTATAATATCTTTATAAAAAATTTATTAATCCTACTCAAGCATGTATTGAATTTGGGCATTGCTTGAAAAATTTAAAAGACTTAATCTTAGTGCAAGAATTTATTGTTTAGTTTATTTGATATAAAATTAAAAAATATTGAGAGATTTTTTGATTTTAATAAAGATTTCAAAAATTTGCAGAATTTCTTAATCTTTATAAATTGAATTCAAGTGAAAAGTGTTGTACACTATCATGTCAACTTCTTAAAATTATGGGATGAATGTTCATATAAAAAAATAATGTTTGGATATTTACAATTCAATTGATTTGATGTAAAATCATTTGGAACATTTCAACATAGAATCATCAATATTGCTCATGTATTGATAATTTAGCTAATCATTATTTCAAGTATAATTATAATAAGTTTAATATTTTATAATAGAATTTGAAATTTATATATAATTTCATGTAGTTGCTGAACAGAATATTTAGAACTTGATAAAATAATAATATAAAATGATTATGCTTAAAACGGATCAAAATCCTGATCAAGATAAATCACATAATATTTGATAGATATCATGTGTTATGTATACATCAAAGAAATAAAAAATTGAACTTCGATTGCAAGTTGTATGTCTAAAGTTTTACAATTTATAATAAAGCATAACAAACATGTTAGTTAGTATTGATGATTGCACAACTTTACGAGTATATAAGATATGGATATCTTATATGTTCATATGGATATGTTTGGATATCTTGATAATTTTTTTACTATATAATCATATTTTTTGAATATTACAATAAATATAATATTGGCATAATTAGAAACATTATGTTTATCATTTCAGGCAAGGCAATTTTTTTTAATTATTTATTATTCTTTCATGCGAGATTAGATCATGTCATGATAACGTCTAACTACTTTCAAATTTTAAATGACATGTGTGTGATGATATTGCAAATTATGATATTGAGAAATTATTAGTTTTTCATTATCATAATTTGATCATACATAAAGTATGATAAGGATGAAATAATAAGCTAGGAATTCATTATATTCAAAAAAAGTAGTAACTTTCACAATCATGAACTGAAATTAACTAGACACTTCAAATGTACTTATAACTCAAACATTAGTGACCAACATAAAATACTATTTATTGCATTCGAAAAATGTTAATGAGATATGTCATCATCTTTACAGAACAGTTGTGAGTTTTTTCGTGTACACATTTGGACTTGAATTGTTCATACATACATCCAACCATCTTATTGGTAACATCTTATTACTTTGGTTTTATTGAAGCTAGTTGTATTCTTCTTGCTATATATTTCTTGTTTTTTAATGGACCTATATCCGTAATGATATGATCGGTCCTAGAGCTATGACTAAACGTAGAGAAGGTGACCGTGAATCTTAATTTAATGACTGAAGAACTGGGTATGTCTACTGAAAGAAATATGAACATACAGACATACATACGAGAAAATCAAGTACCAAAAGACAAGGGATGCACATGGTATCATCTTACATGGAAAGGGATGATATAAGGGCGTCAACTATCTATAGTTTGTGCAGGATACATCTTCGACCTTCAAGAATCATGTTATAGTAAAACTAAAACATGGACCTTGAAGTTTTACGCATTTTGATAACAAAAAAAACATAACCATGGCTGAAACTTCTCGGAAGTTGAAGGAATTGGGAGGAATATATGAGTACACAATGATGACGATATATACGCCCCAAATCTTCGACATTGTTTTGAAAGTACTCAAAGGTCGGGATAAGAAAACTTCCAAGAATAGAGATGACATCATTCGGCCTATTCTCGTTCATTGTCATTCTTGTTTTGTGACACCATACCGTAGCATGCCCGAGCTGCCATTTGATTAGAATCTGTATCACACTAGGACAGATATCCAAGGCAAAGGATTCTTCTTTTCAGCGGAAATTGAACGAGAGAGACTGCTTCTACCCCGTGAATGGCGGCTTTCAACTTTCAGGACGCCAGAAGTGGCAAGCAAAGAGACAAATTCCAGCACGCAGCCGGTGAGCTAATAAATTTGTCGTCGATCTGCTGAAAAAGTTACCACACCACTCCCTGAGGGAACAGGAAGATCCATGCTGGTGACCACATCTGAGTCGGGTAAGGAGAAGGCGTGGATCTGGAAAAATTGCGCTGAAAGACTTCGTACCATCATTGTACATGACACTGTACTGTACTTTACTAGCAGTGCATGCCAAAGGTTTCCTATTCAACCGTGCTCCTTTTCGCCCACATTAGCGCTACCGGATCCTATTAGACAATCAGCACTTCAGATTTTCTAGTGGAGACAAGTAGTTGGTCTATCTGATGACATCAGGTCCCGTAGTGGTGTGCACAACACTGTACCCATGCATTTCTACCCTACACATGCAAGCTGTACATGAAAACTTCGCAAATAAACTAAGATTGTGACGTTCCTCCGACGATCAGACGAGCCTGCAGTTTCAAGTAGCACCTGCCCGAAAGTACAATAATAAAATATTGTTGCGATTTTAGCTATTGTAGTTTTGCAGGCCTTGGAATATAGCACAAATCCGATGATATCAGGTCATGATGGTCCGGTCAGTGAAATATTGCTGTCTATAAGAAGGCTGTCTATAAGTATTGACACTAGGCGTAGCTCTGCTTCCGTACTTGGAACAATCTTCAGCTCTGTCAAGGAGAATGTGGGACTAGCTCGCAACAAGATGTTAGGCCATCTTTAGCGTACCAGCAGTATCCCAACCCTTTGACTTTCTTGTTTGTTTGAGTCTAAAGATCTGAAAGTTGAACCACTCGCCTGCGGTCAATCATGAATAAAGCCTAAAAGAACTACGATACTCGGAGTGTGTCTACCACATGAAGCCACGGTACCGTGTTCGCACAAATGACATGAAAAATGTGAGCAATATCAAAGGCTATACACCTCCATCTGTCTCATAGGATTTCAAACATTAGATGTTTATATTTTTAGAGACAAAGAGAAGATATATGCATAGATAGATGGCTGTATCATAGTACAGAAGATCACTCATAGACAGGGGAACCAGAGCCTGAAGCTTCAGCCTTTGCAACTTGATGCACTTGCACTGAAAAGGTCATTAGATGTACGGACATGTATTTTGAGGGGACGAGTGGACAAGACACTTCTTTTGTGCTCCAGCGCCGTTCTCTCCTCTCAAGTAAACCAGTGACCGAAGCCTGCACCAGAAGAGGAACAAGTGTATATAAAAAGATTACCATTAATGGCATGCCCTTCGCTAGCCGACAGACCAGCAAGCTAGAAGGCAACGAACGATGGAGCTCACGAGCGTGGTGTAAGAATCTGGGAATTTTTGGTCCGCTGAATGTCTCGATCAGCGTTGGGCTTTACAGCAAGATCTGCACCCAACTGTGCAACACAGGAATGTGTTTATTCCGCCGAGACGGTGACATGGATTGAAATATTCAGCTATCCTATTATATAGAATCAGTATTGGCCTTACGACAGGTATCAGCAGATCTACATGATGTTGGTAGACAGCAAACAAGTCCACTTAGATCTTTGATCTGCTTATGATATCAATATGTGAAGTCTCTAACGGCTCCTTGGCTTGCGAGCAGATCTCGTTGTTGCACCATCCCAAGTTGAGGCGTATTTATTGGCATTGTGGCACTTCCATGCACTTCCATGCACTTGCTACTAGAGTTGTTGGAGGAGCGCATGATTATTGCTGGATATGAGGAGATGATTGCGATTTGGTGTGAGGGTCATTTTAGCTGTACTGTACATGACTCATAATTTTGTGAATGACGTCGAAAAATATAAATTTGGAAGCTCTCATTGCAAGGCATCAAATATAAGTTCCATCGCCCAACAACGCAGTCCCAAGTTCATAGAACATCGTCTAGCTCCACCAAAGGAACAACAAAGAAAGGGATTTTACAATCTTACTGCATGACGGTCGGTACCGGAAAATTATTACGCCCTTCTTACACATATTCTCAAAGCGTGAGTGTCAGAACTGCGGATCCCATATATCAAATCTATTTTTGCCGGTTCTTAGAAAGTCCAGCCCCGCAGATGATTGATTATGTGAACCATCGTGAGGTTCTGAACACAAGAGCACCCAGACGCACACGGACAAGCGCGCAGAATATCATGGGCGAGAGGAGTTGGGTAAAAGGCCAGCTCCCAGAAGGCAATGGGAGGGGAAATTCCGTTCAGGTTGGAGCGCCAACCTGAACGGAATCAGCATGTCGATCTGAGACTAGAGTGATTAGACTGATGACAATCCTGCAAGCTCGTAGGCTTATGGACATGTCGAATGTGTTGGCGCCACAGCGACACATGCAAAACCTGTTTACAAGGTAGTCCTATTCAAAAGTATCTGCCTTGACTCACAAAGTGTAGGCCGCTGCCCAGCACATTCGATCGGAGATCCAAGGCCTTCGACACGTGGTGGGCTGGGGAAATTGGATATGAAACAAAGATGCTGCCCCGGGTGCCGGTATGGAGGCTGCGGCTGCCACGGCGACCCGAGGGTGAAATTTAGCAGTTCCGGAGCTCGGCAATTTTAGTGTCGCTGCATAGGCCCCAACTGCTTCCACCTCAGCCACGACGGAACGACAGAAACTGCAAGCAGCCTTTCGGCCGAGGCCACCATTTTGTTCGGTTATAAATTTCGTATACAACGGGGACCCAGTGCCACGACCATTGCTCCCCTCTCAAGCACTGCGCGATTACGCGACTCTGCTCTTTTCAAGGCGACGGAGAGAGAGAGAGCGTTGAAGATTCTTTGATGCTCACGCAAATCTTTTCTTCCGATTTGTTTTCGTGATCTCCGACGCTCGATTCTCGAGCGCTGTCTGAGCCCGTGCCGGGAGCAGGTGGAGGAGCGAGGGGGAGGGGGGAGGGGGTATATGAAGGCAGCCTGGAGCATACCAGGGACTCATATTCAGAACCCGCAACTGCTCCGTGAGGGAGGTTCTTCTTTCTCCGTCGATTCGTTTCTGGTGTCGGTGCGCAGGAGCAGTTGCTTTTAATAACGATTTCTTTGGACTCGACGTGTCAAAGAATCGGAATTGACCGAACTCTATTCCGCACTCATCTCCAGTTCCAGTTCCAGCTCTTCCAATTCTTCGTCGAGGCCGTGCGTGCTCGTTGGGGTTCGGGACAAATTCCATCAAATGGCCTGGCAGTCGGATTATTTGGATTGGATTCTCTCTCCACTAGCCTTCGCGATAATGCTCGTCTACAATGTGTGTCTCTACATCCGCTTCAACAAGGCCCCGGATAGCACCGTCATGGGTGTCAACCATCGCGCCAGACGAGCTTGGGTCCGGTCGATTATGCAAGTAATGCTTCTTCATTCACTTCTTGCCATGGTCATATCATCGTATCGTATTGTCTACAATTTATACAGGCGCGTATGGACCTTGGGACTCGGAGTGTCATCTCAAGGACAATGGTTCACGGTCCCGCAGTCGAGATTTCCGTCTCGACTGCTGATTGCATTTGTGCCTGGATCATGAGCGGATATCCGCTGATCCGGTCGTTCTCCACTGTGGTTCTGTTTTTTTTAAGAAAATATGGCCTCGTGTCATGGCATGGTTGCTTGCACCGGCAATCGATGACTCGAGTGTTTCTCGATTGCAATTGTTGCTGGGCCACAAGGTTCTCATTCGATTCTGATATGTTGCAGTTCTGCAAATGCTGCAATTGCGTGACTATCTTGCTCTGTCAATTCCCCCTCTGTAAGGTCCTGCGGCCAGTACATGGGGAGGAAGCGACTGCCGGGAGTCCCTCTCCACGTGCAGAGATGATCGCGAATCCAGGAACCTCGAAGTCAGCGCTGACAAGAATTGTTGCATGAGCACGATCACGTTTGAAAGCTTTGCCAAGCGGGCTGGATCACACTGGCTCAGTTCAGTAAGCCTGTGGTGGCCGCCCGTACGACGATGGCGAGCTGCTGTGCGTCGAGGGATCGTGTCGGGATTCGGGAATCGTGTAGACTCTTGGGATGGGGGAGGAAGATCGTTGACGCTTGTTTTTCGTTTCCATCGGAGATCGACTTGTCAACGAGTACTCATTTGTGATTCGTTCGTCTCTCGTGTGAACAGGATAATGAGAAGAAAAACATATTGGCGGTGCAGACTTTGAGAAACAGCATCATGGGATCGACTCTTCTGGCAACGACGGCAATCCTTCTGAGCTCAGCGGTGGCGGCCTTCCTGGCGAGCTCGTACGATATCAAGGGGAGAATCAACAGCTCCATCGTGGGATCTCAGAGCAACATATCGCTGTCCGTCAAATACATGACCCTCCTGGCGGGCTTCTTGTCTGCATTTCTCTGCTACGTTCAAGCAGTGAGGTATACGAATCATGTAAACTTCATCATCAACGTGCCCATCAGCGCAACCATCACCCCCGAGTACGTAGCGGATGTTCTCGAGAGGGGAGCGAACTTCCACACCATCGGCACTCGAGCGTTCTATGTCACGATCCCTTTGCTCCTGTGGATCTTCGGCCCAATCCCATTTTTCGCATCCACGGTCATACTCGTTCCGATGTGGCATAGTTTGGATGCAGCTCAAGACACCGAGGCGCAGAAGATGAGGAAGGCGCAGATGAAGGCATTCAAAGCTGGGATCGTCGAAAATGATCCTTCTGACCACTCTGTCTCCCATTCCATCTCTATTACATCAGACAAAGGCGGACTCCCAGTCTGCACTATGTTGTGAAACTTAAGAAGCAATCATCGTGGGTTCTTGAAACAAACGATTGACGTTTTTGTGACAGAAGACATCCATCAAAGTACAGTAGAGGATCTTATGAAGGTATATGCAGGCTACTTGGACTTGTGTATGCATACGTACCGGCTATAGTCTACGAAACACGACGAGATTGAATGTACAGTACGATAGAAGCTAGTATATCCTTCTGGGAAGGAAGGGAGCATGCTTTCGGGTATAATACTTAGTTTTTCTTTTCATGTAAATAATTAATTCATTAAACTGTTGAGATTCGTGGCACAACTGTCAAGGATCGGTTATCATGGTATGTATGGATTGGCTGCAAGCCTAGCATTGTGTTGCGCTTGAAGTGTTTGGAAATACACTTTCTGTTGACAAGTTACAACTGAAAAGTGACGTCAGTCTTCTAAAAGCGTAACAGTCTACAAGGCGGACTTCTTTCTACAAACCGAATCTTATTAACTACTGGAGGGTGAAAATTAGCATCTTTCTCAAAGTTACCATGCCTCAAGCCCCTGTAACAGCCTCTCGATTCGTCGAGAAGCTGTTACAACGTCGGTAAATAAGGTTCAAGAGAGGTTATGTTGAATCTATGCTACACTTTGTTACCTCAGTCTTTACGTGACGGTTATGATATGGCTTGTGGAAGTTGTACGCCAAGCTCGTGGATGACAATCCCTTGGATGATATAGGAGTTGGGTCTGGTGTTAGAAGGAAGCCAAACGGTGACATTACAAGCCTGCAAATTATTTCGCCGAGAGATTGTTAATGACGGAAAGAGCAAAGTTTGAAGTAGCTCAGAACAGACGGCTGAATGAGTAATCTTCATTAGGAACCGAAGCACCTCAAACACCTACAAAGTGAACATGCAGGAATCTTCGACCAAAAAAATCTCAGCACTTTCTTCAAACATTGAACACTTTCGAAGGTAACAAGTGAAGAAATGCATCGAAATGGTCTTCTCCCTCACGTCTTCCTTCTTCCCAACTTATGCGCGCACGCAGCTACGACAGCGGCCGGGGCCTACGGTCTTCAGGATAAGCAAGGAAATACTAAGTCCTCGTTCGACTGGCCAGTAAAATATTCCGGGAAGGTATTGAGCAACCCACGAATCCGCGTCCTCTCCCTCATCAAGCTTTATGTCGTATATCATGTACGGTACATATGACATATACAGTATATGGTACATATATGGTACATGTCCTTTGGAAGAATTTGGTCTGTCCAGGATGGGTTCCTTCCCTGGGTCGCGAACTTGAACTTAAGTTGAAGTTCCGACTCGGGATCGTCACTCTCGAAAACAAAGGACGAAGATGAATAGCCGGTCCACAACATGCACAGACTATGGCCAGTACGAAAAACTCCAGTTCATTATTTGACTAATTGCAGCTCTTTTTTACTTGAGCTGGCGTTTATAATATTCTCTGCCTTTGTTGGGGTGAAGTCCATGCTGCTCGTGAAGCCCCTCTGATTTTGGGGCCATGCATCAGAGGCCAGTGAACACTGGCCTCTGATGCATGGCCCCAAAAAGCTTTTGATTCATGTTTACAAGGCCTTTTGAATCGTTCCGTATTAGACTTGGTTACGAGTCTCTTGGTTGATACGGTGAACAACAAACTAATCTCATCTTAGCAAGACCCGCCAGTATAAGAAACCCTTTCACTTTCAAATAGTCCCCTCTCTTCCTCCTCATCTCTCTGCTACTCAAATTCTTCGAATAAGCATCGCTCAGTCAGGGAGCGGTATTGGACTTCAGGCTATGACAGCAGCATTTTCGAATTGTACAATTTCCCATGCATGCAATATCTCAACCCACAATTTAAAATGTCACTAAACGACGAGTATCTTTCTATTGCCTCTTCAGCTGCTCGAAAGCTCAAACACGAGTCAACGGGATGATATGAAGAGTCCACGCACTGAGCACTAGCAGAAGAAGAAACATTCAATGGAGGCAGAGACGAGAATTACTAGCCCCACACAATCTCCGTGTGGCAAGCTAAGAGGATCTTTCAACAGATCCATGGAAGATAGCTTTCATTGCATCGAGAACACGAAGCATCACGACGATACCTTGCAGCAGACTCACCAGGTCACTTAAACCACAGCCTCTGTAACTGGACCAGACAATCTCCGACACGGAGGCGATGCTTAAGTTAGAAGGAGTAAACTATGCTCGGGAGGACTTTCACTATCCAGGATCTCAGTGTCAAAACGGGGCGGAGTGCTATTTGGTAGATTTTAAATAGTTCCGTAGCCCACATGCCAATGTCAGCATTACGAGTCTATAACACACTAATTGACGAGCCAGAATGAGGATTGACTAGCAAGAGCGTGAAGGAAATTATGTTAGATACTGGGTATATTCAATGGTTTTGAATACATACAATATATCCAATATCTATTATTTTGTCTTGGATGAAAACTGATTGTAGCTTGCATGCATTGCGCTCACATCGCATACAGGTTAAGAAAAATATACCAGTCCCAGTCAAGCTGGTAAATGAGAAACAAGTGCAATCCAATACGTCAAGATACATCTCTACCTATGAAATACGTTACAGCTCGTCACATTCCTCATTGTAAAGAACAAGCTCAAATTTGCTCTGGCAAGTTTTGAACTTGCTCTGGCAGTACAAGGCTTGAATAAGCTCTGAACAGAAGAAGAACAACTGCATGAGAAGAAGTCCTTTTCCAGCCCGAACTGGGTTGCACGTGAAAACTAATCCTCGACAAATCTCTTCCAGTGATAAGGATTAGCTTCTCAATTACTGGCACAACCAAGGCCTTCGCTTTTGTGCTTAACGGGCACTGATTAACGCCTACATTCATGTGCACAGCGCGATAAACAATGGACACAACCTGGAAATCACATTTGCTTACACACTCATATCTAATTAGGTAGTAAAGGCAAGTATCGTGGAAAGACAAAGTCATCCTCATAGCACAAGAGGTGGGTAACCAGGCCGTGCACAGTACTATAAAGGATTGACAGTGTTTTATTAAAGTTTGACAGCAGAAGAAGAATACGAATCCTAACACCTGTAATTCTCAATAGTATACATCGTATGACAGAATACTTCGCTGAAATATTCAGCACCATGTAATCTGTTCCTAGAGGCTTCGAGCCAAGCTCCAGTTTCTACTCTAAGGTTTGTGGACAAAAACTATATATCAGGAATTTCTCTTAAGAAGGCAAAAATGCAGTGTTCGTGACAAAATGACAAAATGTGCCACACAGATCCAGGAAAGCCTAAGACTTGGTACCGGGAACCTACTTTGAGCCAATATCCACCACTATGAACCTGTCAAGAGAAGGTGCAACCTTGCTCTTCTGTAGGACGGAGTGAAGTTCGCGGTTTCCATTCAGCTGCTCAAGCTCCTCTACATTATTAAAAAGGGCTAGGAACCCAACATTCAGACCTTTGCTTCGATTTGGCGAGAAGTTCAGACCTGCGCTCACTTGTCTGATAAAGGGGAACTTGTCTCGTAGCCCATAAAGTAACTCGAAAACTTCTGAGCTCTCAGATTCTGTGATAGCATCTGCTAACTTAATGAGGGCAATGCGAGCTGCTCCGTGACCTCCATCTACGGGTGAACCCACTGGCTCAGCTACCCAATCCAAAGCCAGGATGTCATCCATCATCGGGAGTAAGACCTTCACTATTGCCAGATGCTCGGGGTGCGTGGCGTATGTTTTAAGGTCGTCTTTTGTTGCGTGCCTTGAGTGTAAAGCATGGGTGAAGTCACCACCCAAAATCTGCAAAGCCTTTCCGGCGCTGAGGTCTTGAACACAGTCAAGATTTTTCAAACCTCTTAAAGCTTCATATACTTCTTCGGTTTTCTCAGCTGGAACATCGTCCTTGATCTTAAAAAGAACGACATGCTCTACGATCGTACCTTGGGCAGTTTTCTCCACCATTTTAGATTGCTTCAAGGGTCCTTCCTTAGCAGCTGCCGAGCAAAAAACTCTTAGCGGGAGTGGCTTACACTCCTGAAAGAAACGGCCCCTAGAAGGAAGTTCCTGCTTTATGCTTGCCTGCAGAACCTGTTTCAAGGCAAACAACAAGCCTAATCACATTCCCAGCTATGATCACTCTACCATGATCTAGTACTGAAAACCAGATGTCCACAGAGATGAAGCTAACAGAATGCTCATACGCTACTGCATCCTTGGATTCGAGTATGGCTGCATAGAGGGTCCTAGGCTGTCACTATGGAAAGAACAGCCCACTATGATGTACCTATGTCCCGGGTTTCTATCCGATGAACTTACGTTTTCACATCGCCACGCAGCGGGTGGGAAAATGCACACAAGGAACAGTCAAGCACGAAAACCAAGCAGTTCCTTCATCTACAGCCGGCAAATTCAATCCTCCAACGAAAGCGTGTTCCTGTTTGCGCGTAATAAGCTGATCTATTCAATCCAAAAATTCATTTTCTCGAAAAATCGATCTAGGCTGCCAAGGAGCACACCCACTCGTCAGCACCTCCTCACCAAACAGAAAACAGATTGGAAATGCCGCATCGGTTAATGCAAAATATTAGAAGTTCTGCTTCCACATTTCTGCTGACCTGTCCATGCAATCCTTCACGCAACGAAACCTTCCCAACATTCCCATCACATTGTGTAAAAGCAATCGAACCCACGTCATGAGAGGCCAAATCGAGACAAGGAAAATTGTAGCGACTGCAGAACGCCCGAGCAAGAGAGTCTATCAGCAATTTCGATTGGCTACAGTACCAACATTGCTCACCTACAGCACAAATTGGCATCCAGCGAAGTGGAGAGACAAATGCAGCGATGACCAGCCGATAGACGAAGGGTCAAGAAAGTTCACATTGCCATCTAATCACGAGGATCCAATCAACCCAACCAACCGCACGAGGCAGGAAACACGAGTCAATTTCGAATCATACCCCAGCTCTGGACGAGAATCCACGGAGCAGAGCGGTCAGAGACTTCGGATCCAAACCCGGACTGTGAATCCTTCCACATGCGCCGACGAGGAGCGATGCACCAGATAAAGCCATACGGACGGACGGGCGAGCGGGCGAGCGAGCTGCTGTCACATCCACTGATGCTGCTGCTTCGCGATACTCTTGTAACTTTCTCGAACCTTTTGCTCGACCCCCTGTCGTGTCCGACAGCCGCAGTCTCGCAGCGAGGCGCGCTTCGGTCCGTCCTACCCCCCGCCAACGTTTCGCGCGAGTTTCATCCACAACCTGGACGGCGGCCTCGAGACCACAGACCCGCTGCGCAGAACGGGCGCCGACCTGGCATGGTCCCGCTTACGTGGAAATCCGCTCCGACTTGGCATCGCTCAACGGTTTGGTGTCAGGCGTTACGTTGTGCGGATCGGAGGTCCGTTTCCGCGCGCTGCGTTCCGAGGGCGATAAGGTCTGTGTGTCCTACGATAGCCCCGCTGCCCTAACCCTCCCATCCTGTCTGGTTACTTTGTTCACCCACCCCAGAACCGGACCTCGGTTATTTAGTTCACGGCACCATGCTCGTGGACTGTGGTACACTGGAGACTGTGTTGTTCTGCAGGGTTTGCAGGCCCTCCTCGACTGCAGCTCGTTCTTCAAATCAATGTTGTGACACTGCGATCGTCTATAATTGAACCTGGGGGTTATATTTTAATCTAAAATGTTTCTAGAGATATTTTTTATGTATATATTTATTTATGATGTCATCGACGTTCGGTTCTGTCAATCAGATTTGGTCACAGAGTCAGTTATCTCTTTCCCGACCAGAATGTGTCGGTGGCACTGCGTCAGAGAAGAATCCAGAGTAAAGCTGGTGTTTTGCAGGTGATCCATTTTGAACAGGATGGGTACATGGTTTGGCCACTTCGGCCATAAGGAGTACGCGAGCTTGCAATCTGCTGCGCACGCTTATTTCTCCCGAAAAACAGGGGGGCCGAGAGATTTAGCAAAAAGGAGGGTAAGACCCCATCCAAATGAGTAAAGCGGAGCCAGAAACCATTAGAATTGAAATCTTAACTTGTGCCTAAATTATTAAACCCTCTTATTATACCTAAATTATCGGAGAAAATGGTTTACAAATATCAGGAGCATTGGAAGAAATCACCAATAGAGATATTTCTCGGAGGATTTAACACATAGGATGGTTGGCACTTTTGCAATGGGAAATGCCCATGATACCTACTGCAATCCTAGATCTAACCCAGGAGAAGAGATTAAAACCCTCGCAAGCTTAGTTTTTATAATCACTTATAGTGAAATTTTATAAATTTTCCATCGAAAACTGTTTTCGACGAATTTGGCACTGATTCAATTTAGACAAAAGTGTCATTTCTAGAATTTTCACATACAATTTAAAAATAACGGGTTTATATCCGGTATATTTAATCAGCTGGATCAAATGAGGACGAAATTGTAATATCAAATGCGTTCATTGTGATATCACACACATTGCAAGTACACATGTAAAAAGAAGTCTAAAGCAAGAAAGTTTTTGCTACACATGAAAAGAATAATAGTAGTCATTACGTTAATGAATGCGATAACACATTATATTCAAGCACATCATATTAAATTTATGACAGATCAAAATTATCCACACCAAAAAAATCATGTAACTAGCTTTCTACTCAAACTAAATCGTAAAATATCATGGATTATGTATTTAAATAATCCAGTCATGAAAAAAAATTCTAATTTAAAAAGTTTTCAAGTCAGTGATATTAAGATTATTGTTCAAGCAATCTGCAACAATGTTGACTTCATTCATAAAAGGCTAATATTAACAACATGAAATTAAGTAAATAGAATAAAAAAATAAATGAATACAATATTAATTTTAATGTTCTTTCTTATAGAAAACCGAGTAAGTGTAGAAAGATCTAAAATTTTTCATTAAAAATTCAACATACTGATGAATCAAAACGTAAAATAATATCAACTCAACATGCTAATAAAGAACAACATAAAGATGCAAACCAATGCTCAAAAAACTAGGTCATTCACATCCAACACTTAGAACAATTATTTTTTTTATGTTTTTTTATGTAAAATGAACATGTCTAGCTTGATATTTTTTTCATATCACTATAATATAAAAATTGAGCAATCACATACACACAAAACATACACTCAAACATTGACATTTATTACTATGTTGAATATTGTTATAGAAATATATAGATTATTACACCAAACAATTCAAACACAATTAAGTTACCCTTACTTAACAAACTAAGAATGTATCATCAACAACTTGTCATCATCATATCTATAAAGAGATATATTTTTCATGGTAGAGTGTCTTTTTTACCTTTGAAACATGTATCACTTCCTGAATGGAGCCAAGCTCATTTCTATGAAGCAAAAATAATTATTTCCAAAGTTTTAAAACTTGTGTAAACGACATGTTGGATCTGCTTGCATCCAAAGTTCTCAATATGAATTCATAATTTTCATGTTACCCATCACAATCGCTGCTTCTGAGCTATGTGACATTTTATTTACTTGCAACTTAAGCACTAAATATATGACCTACAATTTACTCATGAATGGTTGATAAAATTTTTATTACCTGTCTCTAACATCTAACTTTCTGCAATATTTTCACAGATTTCAAACCGAATGATCTTTGATTAAATAAGTTTAAAATCACTTATTTTGAAGAGTGATTAAATTTTTGTTTCAAATTGCTTAACGAGTTTTATCATAAGTAGATAAATCATGAGGTATAAATATAAAGATATTGATCTAAGTTTTACCCAGAAAGTATGTTATTGTATTTTTTTTAACGTTATTTATTTATTTATTTATTTATTTATAATTTAAGATTTTAAAGACGTTGTCACATGCATTTAAGATTGCTCCCAGCACTTGGCTGTGAAACACTCTCATGGATTTTTTTTGTGTGAGTCGTACACTTTTACCAAATTATTTCTCTTATCACTCTTCACCAGCATTATGCGTTGACTAACACTTCTACTACCAGCTGTTGTCTTGTCATTGATACTCAACATTTTTAACTAACTCCGGTTGAGGTAGGCTCGCTGGATCCTCTCCCACTTGTCAGCAATTGCTTGTTACTCAAATTCGTCACCCATCAATTTGGCCTTTTTAGCCAGCCGATCAATCTCCTCACTACTTTTGGTCAATCTAACTCAAGACTCCGGTACTTATTCCAACCCATAGTAAAGATGAACTAAAGCTTGGTAAGGTTTCTACTGCTTCACGCCTGCTTAAGGTCCCCAAAGTGGAAGCTCTAGTGAAGTTTGTCAACCTTCAAATTTTTTCGTTTAGTGGTATTTTCAACTATGACAAAGTGTCCTTGAGATCATCATTCTGATCAGATTTGCCTGCAATGTCTGTTCCTTTCTCATGCATCGATTTTGAGACTTCCAAGGGTATCGCTCGGTCATCACGTGAAATACCCAAAAAGCCATTTCCACTCGAATATATCTTTGCGTATCTTGAATTCTCTCCACTAGAAAGCTTTAGACTAGAATATGTTGCCTCTTCTATTTGTGAAGCTCTTTGAGCCTCTTTAAACTTGTAAAGGCAATATGATGTGTTGTAATTTGTAACATACGAAATAGATTGTTCTCGATCACATCCTACATGCTTTTGCAAAGTGTAGTTGTTAGTGCGGTAAGATTGATGAATTTCAATCTCATATCCTTGACTTGTATGTCATATGTTTGTAATTTTAGTAGGATCTTATCGAGCTTAAAAATGCATTCCATCGTTTTATTAATATATCTCTAATGATACATTTTCTTCACTAGATAGGTGTCACTATAATCCAAAAGCATAACTACTGTTGTAAGTGTGGATTATTGTCAATGTAGGCACATCTGACTCAATTAGAGAATTGTCTTTAATTAGCATTTAGCAAGGTAATATACGCAAAATGAAACACCTATACTGTAAATTATGTAAAAAGCATAAATCAAGAGATTGTCTGTACTGGATATTAAGCAACTGGATATATAACTTGTGGTCGTACATAGTGAGAATTACGGATAAGACGGAACAAAACTGTTTATTTCTATTCAACCTTTCATCATCTTTTGGAAGCATGTTAAAACTTGCTCCAAGGATGTAGATTTCAATAAGTTCTGCCTTATTGTGCAGACTGCCGTAGAGAGTGTATAAGTGTACAGTTACATGTATGAAATACACTACAGAAACTTGCAACTGAAAGGTTGTTGACATATTGAATGACGCAATTACTTCTTCATTCAGTTTGGTGTTGACGAGAAACCTTTGATGGAAATGATGATAACTGTATTCACCGATCAGATGTCAAAGCAGAACACCTTCTGTGTTATCGAACGATTTTTCGGCCATCGAGGACTTCAGAATCGTGTACCTCTCTACATACATTTCATGCCAGGTACAGAAGGAGTCCACCGGGAGGAACATGTCGTGTGCTAGTCTTCGTTTTGGATCTCGGCTTATCACCTCTGTCGATCTCTGTGACACAGCGCTGCAGAAAAAAGTGCTAGGGCGTCCAGTGATCGGCGTGCAAGGAATATAAAGAGCAAGTAGTTTGTTTGAAGGGCAGAATTCTGCAATCAAGATCCTGCCTGATCACCTTGTGCAACTTGATCCATAATAACCACCAATGAGGCAATGAATGCGTGATCTACTCCAGGCTGAATTGTCACCATGTATTGATCTTTTCCAACGAGGATAGCAGAAGCGTTTATCTTGCGACTGGCCTACACCAGCAGGAAACATGAAATGCACGTTAGTTCGTTGATCACACAAACCTCCTCTTCACTTTACTTGCATTGCAATTCGACTTTCTAGGTTAAAAGGTTTTTTTCACATCAGAGATTTTAGAATTGTTTTCGTTCATGAACTTTTGGGACTGTGATATATGATCAGTGTACATATGCCCATCAGATAACAGACTTCGTGGGAAATACTTTCCAGGATGCTCAGCTTGTATACAGTTGACTCTACTGACATCAACGAAAGGGCGCAGATCTTATTGATTAGAGAGATATGGATGCAGCCCTGATAACACACTGAATCAACGGAGGCACCCTCACCTCGGCTATGGGCACGTCGTTGTAGCAAATGGTGTAGTTGAACTGAAAGAAATCGCCTTTTACAGTGAAGTCCGGTCTGCTCATGGAAGTATTTGTTCCCAGGAAAACATGGAACGATGGCTTGAGCTGAACCAAACCTGACTTCTTCATGACAAAGACTGTTTTCTCGTCACCGTCTGCACTTGTCGCTTCCCATGTGTCGTGCATCGTTAATATCTGATCATCATCAGCAGCGGCAGGGCAGACAAGTTAGTAAACAATGTGAATAATACTGCTGTCAGATTACAGCTAGTTCAGGTGTGTTTAGACCATTATATTGTGAACGAAAAGCAAGATGTAGATAGCGAATCCTCGCTGTCAGGATTCCTAGGTACACTGAGCGAACATCCATAGAGCTAGATCCGGATCGCAGAGTCCTGGAGGTCCGAGGTCAATTGAGACCTAGATGAACGGGTACTCCAGTCAGACAGAGAGTGCAGAAAACCCCATGATCTTAATTAATTTCTCCTTGCTGCTTCATGTGTACGAGAATCCAGTGATTCGCTCTAAGAAACCTTCTCTGATCAGGGTCACAGTGTAAGCATCGGAAGAGCAAGATGTACCTTTCTAGAAAGGAAGACAAGGGCCTTCTCGCTGGAATCGCACAAGATCCGCTTGGTGTGGAGACTGGGCAGCTTGCTCTTCACTTGGAACAAGAGATTACCCTGCGGATCTTTGATCGTGAACTTGCCACTACTCAGCGTCAACACCTTCTGCTCGATGATGAACTGCGCCATATATGGAACACAAAAATTCGTGCTAACAGGCGCCGGTATTCCAACCGTGGAGCTCGCCATCGTCCCTACTCTGTCGCCGATTGAATGGTTTGCATGAAAATTCTATCCACTGAACCTGAGCAAGAAAAGTCGTATATTTTCTCTGTCTGGATTTTCTATCCTTTGAAGCTCAGCATGAAAGATCATATAAGCTCTCTCATTCCGCTGCCCCGGGACGCGTCCACCTGTCGAATCCTCTGTGCTCGTGGCCAATTTCTCCGAAGGCTTTAACTCGAAGATGCGTCGCCGGCAGAGGCGGTCAATCGATCGTTCGGGAGAACAAGTCCGCCATAAATGACAAAACTCGACATGCTGCTCTCGATCAATCAGCACCCGGTCAAACTTGGGTGATCCGGAAAGTGGACAGGCAATTACGTGCTTTGGATCAGATCCATTAGAGAACGCGCTCGAGAGGACCTGCCGTCCAGTCGACATTCCGAAAAGTAAATGGGAAGTTCAACCAAAGAGGAAATGTACTTGGGCATGTTGTAACTCTTTGGAGTACATTCACTCCAAAGAGTGACAACATTGCCTAAGTACATTTCCTTCACGCGTCCAATTTGTCACGAAGAGGCTGATGGACGAACGGATTGACCTGTTACTGTACAGGAGTAAGGTCACTGTTGATGATATCCACAGTCCACAGTCGAGCCTTCGAGGTCGCAATCATGAACATTCCGACGTGCAGGGCAACCCATCGAGCAGCGGCAGTGGCAGTGCATGGCTTGGCTTGGCTGAGCACAAGGAGAACCAGGAGCACTAGCAGCACCACTTGCCTACTTTAAACACTCGAGAGGTAAAATGACTGCAAATCCCACTGTGCAGCTGGAAGAAGCAAAGGTGAAGAGCTCGGTGAGCCCCAACAGGACTCCTTGATCTGAGGAGCTCCACGAGCAGGCCGAAGCGAAACTGATCTTCACTGCTGGAGAGGAACATTTCGACCTCTGTGCAGTCCCAGGCCCACGATCCAAACGTACTTCTCCGACCTTGCTCAATACACTTCTTGTCGTTTGTTTCTTATTCAAGTCGTCACCTTGTTCCTCTTCCACTTGCTGCATTTCGAGCCAATATCTTCTTCGAGCGCTCTGAAACCAGGAGCAGAGAGCTCAACCTGTTGTTATGGTTCTAGCGGCTGAGGGTTGGCAGGAATCTAGAGAGTGAGCTAGGTAGTAGATTCTATGGTGCATACTTTGAGCTCACATCTGTCTGTAATGTACGAGACGAAGCATTTATGGGCAGGGCAGAAGCATTCCACTGTTGGTTTTGGTCGGAGTGCTGGCAGTTCTAGTAGAACGGGCATTGGCCACAGATTTTCATGTGGTGTCTGATGAAGCAAACAGTTATTGAATTGTGCTTTCTGTATTCCAAATATATACCAAGAGTGACTTTAGAGAACCTTAATACTCTCTTCGTACATCTCCAATGTGATGAAATTGGACAATCACTTCATGTGGCTAGAGCTTCCATTGATTTTTTTATGTGAGGTCTTGTACATATGAAACATGAGTGAACTTCACTCTACAGGTAACACATTGTAGATAATCAGATATTACTATTTATTTGAAAAATCAATTCTATACTTTATGAATTAGGAATTGAATGATATCATCTTGGATTTCTTTAAATTATTCATCTTTAATACATAGTTCAAATGATTCTTGCATGTCATTATAAGATTGATTATTCACGGAAATGATTATATCATTTATGTAAAGAATAGAATAATGAAATTAAAGATCTCATTTTTTATAAATACACACATCATACATATTTTCTAAAATTAAATTTTAACATAAACTTATCAAAATTTCATTGAATTGAGTAACAACCTGTTTTGATTATTAAAAGGTTTCAAAATATTTCTTGAATTTCTTTATCAAGTAAATTGGTTGTTTCATGTAAATTTATTATTGTATATGTTATAATTACATCTATTTGATGCATAACGAAATTAACTATGGGAGCAAATGTTCATATCAATCAGATTGTATCATATTTTGTCATGGGTTAGAGAATTTTATTCTAGTCCACATTATTATGTTGTGTGAGAAAGAAACGAAACTCTGAATATTTTTCTCTTGTCATGTACTAGATTGTACTTGAGCTTGTATATCCACTTGCAATCTTTGAATCTCCATTAGTTACTAGGTTTTGTTTTTCATCATCGATTACATCTCACGTTTCATAGCAATATTGCATTTAAGTTTATTGACAAAGTTTTGAGCTTCTTTTCAAAAGGAAGTTTTTTCTTCTTCCAATGTAAATTCAATGCAATTGACATACTTAATTTCAATATTACAATTCTCAAAAATGTATGAATTAGTCCATAATCCATACTTTACAAGAGTGATTTTGATTCATTTTGATGATATCATAATAGATGGTTATAGTAGATCTATAACTTTGGGTCCAGAAGTTCAAATCTCATCAACGATATCTATTTTTTGATTTTTTCTCTTCAAGAATTTGATTCATCTAAACCATCATCATTATGGAATTAATGATGTCACATTATTGATCACAAAATGTTTAATTTTTTTCTCAAAAAAATCTGTGAGTGAATATTTGTAAGTTGTGGAGGTTGAAAACATCACTACTTACAATAATTTTACATACTACTATAGTCTATAGCCCTTTATATCACCAGCAAATCCAATAAAACAACATTTTTTTAATATAATATTCAACTTGTAACTACTCTCTTTAGATATGAAATTATAAGCTATACAACCAAATATTTTCAATCAATTATAGATAATCAATTATTTTGTTCTCATATAAAACGGTGTCAAAAAATTAACTGCACTAGGAGTGAAAAGATTTACCAAATATACTACAGAATTGATCATTTTAGTTCAAAATTCATATGACAATATAGACTGGCTCAAACAATTGTGCATGTTTTTCAACATTGTTCAATTGAACCTCGTAGAAACAAAATATTAATGATTAGATTGACAGAAAAATTACTCCTCTTTGCAATAGACGCAAATTTAGAAATAAATTTTTTCAGAAATATATTTTCCGCCATTATGAATATGTACATGTCTCAATCTCAATTTGGATTATAAAGTTATGAAAAACTCATTTTTTTTGAAAAATAGTATCTTGAGTAATCATCAATATAGTATACATGTTACAATTTTCCAAAGAGTGAATCTTTTTTATAGAATCTCTACATCTCACTATGTACATAATCAAATAAAATTTTGAAATTATGAGTTTCAACATACAGACTTCACTATGATGTCCACAACACAATGTTTAAAACTCTTAATCAATTCGACCTATATCATGTAACAAATTTTTATCGCCTAAACCTATTCAGTACATATTATTCATGTGTTTTAGGCTAGAATGCCATGCATACATGAGACAAGTTAACTCAAGATCTAGTAAATTTGACTTTACCACAAATAGAAATATACTCTAGCATGTATATATTGTTGTACTCATGTCCTACTAACTTAATGTTATCACGCGCTTTTAACTCAGGCATTCATTTCTTAGAGTTTCATTCAAAACTGTTTGAATTTAATATTTCAAGAGAGCTAAAATTTTTTCTCATATCAAGTGTAAATCTAACTTGAATCAATGTAAGTTCAATTTTTTCAAACATTTCAATCTTAATAGATTTAATATACTCAATTATACAAAGTTGATAATTTTTTGCATTTAGTGTTGTTTTAAATAAAACGTATGAAAAAAATTAATTTCATAATTTTTTGCTTTAAGTCATTAGTTCAAACTACTTACAATTTGTTGTATAAGAAGTAAATTATGAGATTAAGCAAAAATTTATAACATTTTAATCAAAATTTTTTAGGATTTGATAAACTAAATAGAAGCTATTATAAACTTTGTATGTTGCAATTTTAGTCAGCGAAAATGTGATAGAGTGAAGAAGATTATGAAAGTAGAAGATTCATACAAAAAATTCAATAAATTACTCAAACAACCAAGCACTAGAGCTTTGTTGTGAGCATATCTACTACTTTTAACCTTATATGCTTATGCAAACTAATAGTGATTAATATATATTAACAAGTATATTATTATAGTAACAAGTGTATTTAGTTGGGTCAAGTTTGACTATGTACTTGTAAATGGATATTTTATCTTATTCTTAATCTAGATAAAGTAACGTAGATAAGTAGTTTAAGTATTTAGCTAAAGTTAGAAGATTTGATTTCTACAAAGGTAAACTAAACTACATGACAAAGAAAAAAGTCACCATAAGAAAGTTTTTTGATGAATTTTTTATATAAATATATGTATAGGTTGGTTGGAAAAAAGAAGATTATTCCAAAGCATATGGGCTGAAATTTTGAGTTGTGACTTAGTTGTGGAGTTGGCCGGGTTAACCTCATATGGGAGGAGATTCAAAACTATTAGGCACATCATTCTGAGTTTAGATTCAAAAAATATATTTTGAGCTCACTAAGATCCATTCTAATATTGCAACATTTGACTAAACGGTTCAAGACTTGTGTGAGTTGAAAAATTACTGTTCTTTTGAGAGATTTTGTAGAAGCTCAAATGTTCCATTGAAAAATACTTGTCTAATTTTGAGCTAGAGTGACATTAGATCTTGGGATTTTAGCAATGGATAACCTCGAAGGTATTCAAAACATTTTGTTAAAGAAGAGTGAGAGTATATTCACTTTTTGTGTCCGTGAAAGATCAAAGAGTGGGAGATGTCCTCGTAACTTACCATGGAAGATAGTCATCTTGGAAGGGCTATAACTACTAGACCACTTGGGCGTTTTGGCTGAAATTTTTCTTGAAGGTTTTGAAACTTGTTTTCAATAAGCGAAAGTAGTATAGAGTCACAAAAGCTCTTTTGAGAGGACTAATTTTAGTATTGTTTTGGGCAGAAATTGTATGATTATAGTTACTAATTGATGAATTGGGTGACAAGGTCTTTGACTTTTGAAGATGATTTCTGGATTTTGTAGAAAAATAATCCTAGTCTGCATATGATTATCCATTTTGAATTTGTGTTTCATTGATGGAGAATGAGACAACACATTGGAATCTATTCCAGAGAAGTTTGCGAAGTAGATGTAAATATTTGATTTACGTGATATGAAGTTTATTAATAATATTAATAGATTTTCCGACTTATTTTGATCGGTAACATCCATGAGACGGTATATAATTGTATTATCAATTCTGGAAAGCCTTTAGCCAAAGTTAGACCAAACAATGTGAAAATTCTTGTTTTAGGTTAAGGTTATTTAGTGATAGCAGCCATTGGAACGGACGTGATCTTGAGCTCTAGTATTTTCCCCTTAACAACGTTATCAAAGCTATGTTATGTACATGCAAAACTACTGATGTGATATGTAGAACTCATGGAGATAGAGTTTGAATTAGGTTTCAAATACGTTTGATTTTTTATCTCAAATTAGTGCAGCTATGATGGAGAGTAGCTTGTGCAAGAATCTAAATATATATAATAGAATCATAAAATATATACTAATAGATTATAATAATAATAGTAATAATATATACATAGAAGCATAAAATGAAAACAATCAACTCAATAATGTGTTCTTTCATTTCATATTGATGGCTGCCATGAAATGAATAACGTTATGAGAGTGGACTAAATATTGAAACACTTGTGTTGATATATTAGAGTATGTGTATTGTGATGTTTGATGTGAGAATGAACTAAATTTTGATGCAAAATGAATGTGCATAAGACAATTCATAGGAGCTTGCTTCAACCCATAATATTCTAATCTAAATCAACAAAAAATCTCAACATTGGTATAGACAACGGATACATCCATGTAGATTTCTTTGTCCAAATTTTCATTCAAGAAGTCTAACTTCACATCTATGAACTTGATCTTCTGGTTACTCTAAAGTTTCAGAAGTTCTAAGACTGCGAATGATCACTGGACAAGTTATAATTTTGATCCATGAAACTTTACTGCATCCAAAATTTTACATACAATTTTCAGTCTCAAAATTGATACCAGACATTGGAATTCAAAATGTAAACACTGATGGCCGTGGAATCTTGAGCCACAATGGTTATCCGATGCAAACATCTATTAACAATTGTAAGTGATAAGAACCTGCTATTTGATAAGGAAAGGAAAACCTGCTATTTAATGAGGATTAAGGAAAGGAAAAGGAAAAGGTCAGCGACCCCGTCTCCTTTTCTTTTCCTTAATCCTTATTATAATTATCACAACCAACGAGGTAATGAAAGCTCGATCTACTCCAGGCTTAACTATCACCATGTAACTTGTCTTTCCAAAGCTTAGTTTCCGAATAGCCTGCAGCATCAGGGAACATGAAATGTACGTGAGATCTTTGATAGCACAAAACTTTTCTATAATCACTTCAATTGTGTTGCAGTTCCGACTTTTCTATGCTAGAAAATGTTTTTTACGTCAGAGGTTTGAAAATTGTTTTCATTCATGAACTCCTGGGACAGTGATATATGATCAGTGTACATAACAGCTTTTGACCAATAGTAATCATGTGAACGACGTAATTCAACATTTCCAAGATTTCCCTGCGCATCCTAAATTGAATGACGCTTCAGACAGGAGAATTTCTTTCCAGGATGCTCAGCGTATATACCATTGACTCTACCGAGATCAGCAAAAGGCCGCACCCTTATTGATTAGAGAAATATGGCCACAGAGGAGCCCTGAGAACAGACTGAATGAAGGGAGGCACGCTCACCTGGGCTATGGGCTCGTCGTTGTAGCAAATGGTGTAGTTGTTAGAAAAAAATTCGCGTTTCATTGTGAAGTCGGGCCTGCTCATGGAAATGTTTGTTCCCAGGAAAACATCGAAAGTTTTATTTAGCGGATTCAAACTTGACTTCTTCATGAGAAACACTGGTTGCTGGTCACCATTTGCCCTTATCGCTTCCCATGTTGGGCGCCACTCCCCTAGCTGATCATCAGAAGCAGCACAGCATACAAGTTAGTCATCTATGTGAATAATACTGCTGTCGGATTTCACCTAGTTCCGGTGGGTTTAGACAATTATATTGTTAACGAGAAGCGAGGTGTAGATGGCGACATCTCGCTGTCAGGATTCCTAGGTCACGTTGAACGAACATCCATAGAGCTAGATCAAGACGGCAGAGTCCTGGAGGTCCGAGGTTAATTGAGACCTAGATGAACGGGTACTCTGTTCAGACAGAGAGGGCAGGAAACCCCCTGATCTCAATTAGTTTGTCCTTGCTGCTTCATGGGTACGAGAATTGACTGACTTTCTCCAAGAAACCTTCTCTGATCTATCGCACAGTGTAAGCATCTGACGAACAAGATTTACCTTCTTAGACACCTGGACAAGGGGCCTCTCCATGGAATCGCACACGGTATGCTTGGAGTGGAGACTGGGCCACTTGCGCTGTACTTGGAATAAGAGATAACCCTGCGTATCTTTGGCGGTAAACTTGCCACCATTCAACGTCAGCACCTTGCTCTCCACCGAGAACTCTGTCAAATGTGGAACACAATAACTCGTGCTCACAGGCGCCGGTATGTCAGGCGTGGAGGTCGCCATCGCTGCAAATTCGTCCGTTCTCCTTAGCCGATTGAATGGTTTGTCTGAATTTTCTATCCACAGAAGCTCAGTAAGAAAACTTGTAGATTTTCGCTGTCTGAATGTTCTGTGCACTGAAGCTGCGCAGGAAAGGTCAGATGTTTTCTGTCTGTTTGTATGTACACTGAAGCTCAACAGGGAAGGTCGGATGTTTTCGCTGTCTGGGTTTTCTATCTACTATAAGCTTAGCAGGAAAGCTTATATAAGTTCTCTCGTTCGGCTGCTTCGGTGTACCAGTCGAATCCCCTTTCCCCTTCGTAGCCAGTTGCTACGAAGGCTTTCAGTTAAAAATTCGTCGCTGGCAGAGGCGGTCAATCGATCGGTCGGGAGAGCAAGTCCGCCTTAAGTGACAAAACTCGACATGCTGCTCTCGATCAATCATCACCCGGTCAACCTTGTTTGACCCAGAAAGTGGAGACGCGGCTACGTGCTTTGGATGAGATCCATTAGAGAACGCCTTCGAGGGGAGCTGCTGTCCAGTCCACATTCCGAGAAGTAAACGGGAAGTCCAATTAAAGAGAATTGAGAACGTACTCCAAAGGGTGACAAAATGCCTTCACGCGTCCATTTGGAAGCGGTCTGGTCAGCCCCCCGTGTCATCCCTTCCCTTCTCTTTGCGTAATCTGCCCATAAACGACTTCTCTTCTTACACCTTGAGGGCTCATGCCTTGCAGCCCGATCCGCTGCATCCTCGAAGAGAATGCAACGCTAGTCGATGGTGCCTGTGCGGAGGGTGAAGAGAATCAGAATCTTCGATGGCTACGAGCCCATTCGCAAGGGTAAACCCAAGGAGAAAATTGTCCAAATTGACACCAAGAGGCTGATGGACGAAGAAATTGACCTTGCGCTGCAGAGGAGTAAGGCCGAAATTAGACACTCGGGAGGTTAAAAAACTGCAAATCCCACTGTGCAGCCGGAAGAGGCAAGGGTGAAGAGCCCAGTGAGCCCCAACTGGACTCTTTGATCTGAGGAGCTCCACTAGCAAGCCAGAGCGAAACTGGTCTTCACTGCTGGAGAGTAACATGGCGACTTCGGTGAAGTCCCAGGCCCACAATCTATACGTACTTGCCCGTTCCTTGCTCGATACACTCTTGCCGTTTGTTTCTTATTCAAGTCCTCACCTTGTTCCCCTTCCATTTGCTGCATTTCGTGCCAATATCTTCTTCGAGCGCATTGAAACCAGGAGCAGAGAGCTCAACCTGTTGTTATGGTTCTAGCGGCTGAGGGTTGGCAGGAATCTGGAGAGTGAGCTAGGTTGTAGACTGTATGGTGCATACTTTGAGCTCACATCTGTCTGTAAGGTACGAGACGAAGCATTTATGGGCAGGGCAGAATCATTCCACTGTTGGTTTCGGTCGCGTTCGGAGTGCTGGGAGTTCTAGTAGAACGGGCATTGGCCACAGATTTTCATGTGGTGTCTGATGAAGCAAACAGTTTTTGAATTGTGCTTTCTGTATTCTAAATATATGCAAAGAGTGACTTTAGAAAACCTTAATACTCTCTTCGTACATCTTCAATGTGATGAAATTATACAATCACTGAGCTACAGCTTCCATTGAGTGATTTATGTGAGGTCTTGTACATATGAAACATGAGTGAACCTCACTCTACAGGAGACACATTGGAGATAATCGGATATTCCTATTTATTTGAAAATTCAAATTTTTATAATTTGTTAATTATTAATTGAATGAAATCATCTTGGATTTCTTTATAGTATTCATCTTTAATGCATAGTTCAAATGATTCTTGCAAGTCAACATAAGATTGATTATACACGAAAATGATTATATTATTTATGTAAAGAATAGAATAATGAAATTAAAGATTTCATTTTCTATAACAACACCCATCATACATATTTTCTATAATAATTTTTTATAACTTATCAAAATTTCATTGAATTGAGTAACAACTTGTTTTGATTATTATAAGGTTTAAAAAATTCATAAATTAAATTTTCTTGAATTTTTTTAATCAAGTAAATTGGTTTTTTCATGTTAATGTACTATTGTAAATGTTATTATTACATCTATTTGATTCATAACCAAACTAACTATTGGAGCAAATGTTCATATCAATAAGATTGTATTATATTTTGTCATGGGTTAGAGAATTTTATTCTAGTCCACAATATTATGTTGTGTGAGAAAAAACCTAACTTTGAAGATTTTTCTCTTGTCATAAATCAGATTGTCCTTGAGCTTGCATATCAACTTGCAATCAGTCAAATTTTGATTATTTTGAAGCTCCAATAGCTTAGAGTTCTTGTTTTTAACCATGGACTACATCTCAAGTTCCATAGCAATATTGCATTTAAGTTTATTGACAAATTTTGAGCTTCTTTACAAAAAGAAGTTTATTCTTCTTCCAAGTTAAATGCAATGCAATTGACATACTTAATTTCAATATTACAATTCTCAATAATGTATGAATCAACCCATAATGTATACTTTACATCAGTACTTCTGATTCAATTTGATGATCTCATAGTAGATAATTATAGTAGATCTCTATCTTTTGGTCTAGAAGTTCAAATCTCTTCAACAAAAGTCTAGTTTTTTTATTTTTGCTCTTCAAGAATTTGATTTATCTAAATCATCATAATTACTGTAATAACACATAAGTACCAAAATTGAGCATAATGGTAAAGATCCGATACCACGAGCACAGAAATAACCTGAGAGAAACAAGTAGTGTCACAAATTAATTGTCTATTGAGAAGTTTTACTTCTTACGCACTTGTCACTCCCAGAATGTGAAATCACACTCGAAACTTGACATTCATCCAATAAAACCCTATAGAAGCCGCACGCGACTCTGCAATCGAAATTCAAGAGGGAAATTTTCCAAGGTTACACACTCAGCCGACTGCACTGAGCTTCTAATGTACAGATTTGCTTAAAACTTGAGCTACACTATGCACCAACCAGAACATCCGAATTGGACTCTCTATTTTATATGCGGTATTTTGGACAAATTGAAGCAACTCGCGCACGGTGACAAAACACACAATTCACTAACGCACGGAGGAATGTATGCTGAAAAACTGAGAAAAGCCCCACTAAGGCAGAGCCTTGAGCCTCTTTATTCATAACTAACACCGGAAAACATCACTTTCGTAGATGCGAGCTTCCAACAGGCGCGACGCCAGCCGACCCGACAGTTATCACGCCCGCTGAGTTCCTATTTACTCATATCCTACGTAGAGTGGCTGACAGTTCTAATTCTAAGTTCTACTTTGTCTCCTCCAAACCTAAGATGAAATGTCATATAACTCGGTATTTACTAGAAATAGCAATCGGCATAGGGTTTCAATTCTGAGGTTTATAGTGTTGACGGCGACCCGAAGAACGTTAGTTCTTCTAGTTGAGACTATTAGCGTTGGGAGTTGTGCATCTGCCCGTAAGCGTCGACCTAGAGTTTATTTGGAGTGGGTTGGACTCGACTTATGTTTGTGACAATTTTAGTGCCAGAAGGGTAATTGAAACCGACGTGTTTTCTAGTGGGAAAAGCCACGTATTTTTAGTTGTGGTACCTTTGAGTGTGTACACTCTCGTGTCTTGTGTGTGTATGTATGTGAGTAGCATATCAACGATGTAGCATGTATGACGATATATATTTGCACAACAGAATGAATTGAGCTTTCTACCTAACTGCCAATGTGTTACAATACCACTAGCTATCAAATCCATCACTTGGCGCCCCAACTCACTCAATTTCCTCCATTTCAGAGTCTAGATCTCCCACTCCACATAACCACGAAGGCATCAATTTATCTTCGCGCGCAACGCAGCATCCGTCTGCCCTGCCAACTGCTGGACCTTCACCTCCGTCTCCAGCAATTTCACTTTGATCGTGATCAACTGCTTCTCAATTGCTGACAATTGAGATCGCAATTCGTTGCAATCTACATCCAATCTCTTCCTATGCTCTACTCCGAATATCAAGCAGCTTCGCAATCCTCCAACTCATTCACCTTTGACTTCAATTTAGAAGCGTGCATCTTCTGAGCATTGCTGAGATCGATCCGAAGACCCATGTACTCGAGCTCTCCCTTCATATGAAGGTACTTCTCCGCTTCTAAACTTCTTTGAAGTTCGTCATACTATAAATCGGTTTGCCAAAGTCGCTTCTCCCGCTCCTGCAAGGTAGACTTCGCGGTCGCGCACTCAGAGGTCAAGCTCGCCACTCTTTAAGCTACCTCCACAGATGCTGCCACCTTCGTCCGCGTCTTGCTACACACTAATTCTATGTAGAACCCCGCTATTGATGGCTTGACGTACTTCATCATCCTCCTATCCAAATATCTTAGCAAGGGAATTACTCGTTCGCTCAACATGTCCGTTGCATTGAGTTCGGCCGACTTGGGTTCTTCGGCCAAAGGTCCTTCGCCATAGTCCAAAATCGATTGTACCCGAAGACAACTACGCTAAAAGCATTGGCTGTTGCCCCGCAACCGTTCTTCTCAAGTCCTCTACTCAATCTATGAGTTCTTCCATCGAATTGGGATCCACTACTGTGTCTGCTAACTCCGCAGGTACCTCTTAATACTCCTTACCCAAAGAAGTATACACGGGTGGTTGCCTCGAAAGCCAACGACCATGACTCGAAGTCTCTATCTTAGTTTCACCTCCTTGCTCTTCTCCTTCCTCCAACGGATATTCCGCGGGCACTACCAAAGATTTCCACTCCGAATGCCGAAGGCCCTCCGCCGAAGGCCATTCGTCGTCTGTTCTTGCTTCGTTCGGTTTCATCTCGGCCCACTCCTCCGAAATTATCAGACATTGGGATGCGGCTTCACTACACTAAGTGTTGTCTTCATCCTCAATCCACGGGCGTCGTGTCTTCATCTTACTACAAGCATGCACATTCTCCATTCTACTCTTCGTAAGAATTGGTTTTCAGACTCGCAACTCTACTCGCTAATCAATTATTTGTGAAGTCATGACTCGCTGCAATTTACTTCTCTTTTGCGGACGTTCCTCTATCGCATACTCCGATTTATCGACTTTGGTCAAAGGCAATGCTAGTGCAATGTCGTCCTCCTCCTCGCTGGCAACTTCATTGCTTCCCAACACACCTTCGTCGTCCGCAATCTCCGTCTCTTATGCTCCGTTGCAATCAACAACCTCGTACCTCAGTGGAAGTTGATAAAGAACGGGAACAGATAATTCACTGATTCTCCGAACATCTCGCTGATGTGCTGGCGTGTAGTGCTCCATAGAATGTGTGTCTAATGAATAGGCTTTCTTGCCACCGCGCGCTCCACAAATTCGACCTGCCATGTCATCATGTAAGTCATTCGCAAAGGCTGAAGGATCTCTATTAGGACCACCGTCATATTTATGCGCATCTGATCACGATAATCAGTCGTCCGGTACCCTTTCTTGGGCAAACGAGGTTTTCTTAAATAGCTGCGCAAAAGTCTTCTCTTCTGCGCGGATCACCTTCACGCTTTCACTTTCAAAGGTGAAATTTCCATCTTCTTCTGCGCACGGTACTAAGATCTTTCTCCAATCCTCAGTGGTCTAGATCGCTGGGTTGCCACGAAGTCCCTTAGCTCTTGTCACTCGTTTTTTGTGCCACTCTTGCACCATTGCCGCACAAAACCAATTCCATACCCACATCAAGAAATCAAGCTTGGCAGCTACAAATTTGTTGCGATACACTCTCAGTCCGAATTCCGGCACCTTCAATGCTGATAACCAAAGTCTCAAATTTCGCCCCATTTGCAATCTCAATTTCTCACTCACGAACCTCACTAAGCTCCTAATTTGCGAATGCACTCTCACGGAATATCGGCGCTGGACTCGCGTTTCTCCCAATGTAATTTGACACTCTAACGGCATCGTTGTAACCATCTTTAGTTAGTTAAAACTAAAGTAGAGGTTACTCTAAATATTGATATAGATACTTTAGTGTGCACTAGTCATAGCTGACACGTCAGCGATCCGCGCACTTGGTAGGTAGAAAGTGGATGTGTTAGTTGACAGTGCCACGTCAGCAATCCGTGTGCTTGTAGGTAAGGATTGAGTGTGTTAGTTGGGAGCATCACGTCAGCGATCCGTGTGCTTGTTAGGGTTATCCGCCACGTCATCCATCCACTAGGAGTGGGATGGATGGTGGAGATAAGATCTTATCTCCTTGTACTTGTTGGTGAGAGCTATATAAGGGAGAGTAGAACCATTGTTGGTATCTATCATCTTCAGAGTTTACGTTTCTATCTTCGAGTGAGTTTCTTTCTAACCCTAGTGTTACAATGGTATTAGAGCAACCTTGCTCTTTCCTTGAGTGTGGATTACCCCTCATGGAATAG